ACACACACACACACACACACACACACACACACACACACACACACACACACCAAGAGGACGATTGCTGGTGGCTCCGTGTTGAAGATGCAGTATGGGAGCTCGAGGTAGTTGATGAAGCCGCCATCAACCGCGCAATCAGGCGCATGCTTCACAAAATAGCAAGTGTCGTTGTGCGCGTGGAAGTTGCCACACTATGGGACCACAATGACGTAGCAGGTGAAAAGGTGAACCAAGGGAATACAGCAACGAATGGTCACCTACAAATCGTGCGCACGCACACACGAGCACCTCACCAAACAACCAATCAACCAACCAACCAACCAACCAACCAACCAACCAAACACACGCACACACACACACACACACACACACACACACACACACACACACACACGCACGCACACACACGCACACACACACACACACACTGTCTCTCCACCAATTCACCCACAGTGGCGTTCTCGAGAGCTGGAGGAATGTCATCTGTGAGCCAGAGTGAAAGCGTGCCATTGTCCAGGGATCGCGCTACACGCGCGGTGGACTGGCCTTGCTGAACGCGGTTCGTCACCGTGCTGAGCACAAGCAGGCCAACAAACACACACGCAAACACAACGCAGTAGCCCAGCGCTTTTCCTGGGAAGACATATCATAATCACACCGAGAAGGAGTTGGTGTGACTGTATTGTGAGACAAGCCCTCATCACAGCACACACACACACACACACACACACACACACACACACACACACACACACACACACACACACACACACACACACACACACACACACACACACACACACACACACACACGCAGGCCATGTGCTCACGTGAAGCGCGTTCAAGGCGGTGTTTGCGGCAGTGCTTTTGAGCTGTCGACGATGGCCACGATTTCATTGCCAGAGGCGACTCATCTCCATCCACATCCGGATCCCTAGCTGCATTGACAACATTCCCCTCAAGCTGTGCACCACATGTCCTGTTTGTGTTGCTGTGCCGTATTCTTCTTCGTCCGCGCGAGTCGGGTGCACAGCCGCTGCTGATTTGCGATTGAGTGGCAGCCATCCTGCACACGGGGCACCCAGCACCCTCGCGGCTACGCCTCCTTGCGCTACCCATGGTGCTGTGATCGCGGCAAGGCCCTCCAAAAGCATCCGCTGTCGGCGTCGGCGGCGCCACTGCTGAGTCGTGGCTCATCATCACGGGATCTTACAACACCACACACGCACCCTTCTTGTCTTCTTGCTGTCTTCTCCTGGGGCGCCTTTGTTTGTGTTCGCGATGGCGCAGGGCCTGCGACTGATGTCAGTCTCAAAACTTTAAATACACATGGAATCGATTTGAAGAAATTTTAAAACAAATACGGAAGAAGATGTTGATGGCGAGTGCGCCAGCTCTGGCTCTGAGGGCTCTGGCTTTGGTTGCTGTGGTGTGGGTGCTCGTGGCCGCCTTTCCCGCCGCAGCAGCAACCTCAGCTGCCTCCGTGAATGACGAGGAGGAGGCAGTTGTGATTGAAGAGGACGACGCTGGCTCGCTGCGGATTACAACGCGTGATCCAAACAGCAAACTGTTCCTGAATGGGGTGGATGTGCTGCAACAGCTGGCGGAGCAGCGTGCGTTGCTGGACCAAATTCAGCGCGTGCAGTGCACCCTGGCCCCGCTGATCGACACCACGACCTTGGCAGGCGTCGGCTCACCTGCGGCAGGCCTCTACTCGAATGCTGTCCGCGCCAACAATGGTCTCATTTACGGCATTCCACGCAACGCTGACAACGTTGTCATCATCAACCCGTTGACAAACACCGCCGACACCACGACCATGGCGTCCCCAGCGTTGCTGTCAGCCAGCGACAAGTGGGCATCGGCCGTGCTGGCGCCAAATGGGCTCATCTACGGCATACCAGGGGCACACGAAGCTGTGCTGGTGATCGACCCGAACACCAACACCTTCAACAGCACCGCCATCGTCGTGGGCGAGCCAAACGAGACCAAGTGGCAAGCCGCTGCCCTGTCCAACGAAGGCAAGATCTATGCCTTGCCCGTCAGCTCGAGCACGCCCATCTTGGTGCTGGACACCGCGACCAACACAGCATCGACGCTGCCCAATCCTCTGAGCACGATAGGATTCGCGTGGACCAGTGCTGTGACTGCGCCCAACAACGACAGGATCTACGGCGTGCCGTACCAGGCCTCGTTCGTGCTGATCCTCGATCCCGCCACCAACGCCACCGACGTCACCACCATCATGGGCCTGGGTGGAAACGCGAAATGGGCCAGTGCTGCCCTAGCTCCAAGCGGTCTCATCTACGGCATCCCTCTCAACGCACTGGACTTGCTGGTCATCAACCCGTTCACCGACACGGCTGACCGCGTCCCGCTCTCACAGGCTGCCCCAGGCACGCCAAAGTGGTGGGGTGCCGTCCCGTTGCTGAACAGCGACCTTATTGTGGGTATTCCACACGCCATGACGAGTGTTCTGGTGGTTGACACGGCGACCAACGCCACGCGGGAGGTGCACGTGCCTGGCCTTGACACCGATGTGTACTCCCGGTTCATTGGCGGTGCTGTGAGCTTGTCCAATCGCGTCTACGCCATGCCGTTCGATGAAGACGCCATCCTCACCATCGACGGCTCCTGCTTGTGACCACGCGTACTAGTGTGTGTGTGTGTGTGTGTGTGTGTGTGTGTGTGTGCGTGGCTGGAACTATTTTATCGACTGAGTTCCATGACTGCTTTGACTCAAGCCTCTTCTGTCTCCTCCCTATCGAATGTTACATTACCATTCACGCGCTACCTCACATTGGGGCATGCTGTGTAAGTCGCTGTCTTGTATTGGAATTCAAGCAAATGAAGAAGAAACAACCGCCAAAACCGCATGTCCTGCCATCGCCATGCTATCGATATCACAACGCACACACACACACACACACACACACACACACACACACACACACACACACACACACACACACACACCCGATCACGACCACGCGCCTGTCACACCACATCACCATGACCACATCACATCACTGCCCCTCGTCCTCCTGCTGGGGTGTCGGCTGCGGCACGAAGAAGTTGGTGGCAGGTGCTGGCGTCACGCCGGGCATGGGTGGCGGCGCACTGCCCTGGTCACGCACGCGGTCACTGCAGGCGTGTGTGTTGTTGGATGTTGGGGTTGGGGATGAGCTGACCGAATGTGCAATGCTAAACCTCCTTGCACCACTGCACCACTACACACACACACACACACACACACACACACACACACCACACACACACACACACACACACACACACACACACACACACACACACACACACACACACACACACAGGCACCACCTCCACCAGCAGCAGCAGCAGCATCGAAAGACGTACTCTGCGTGCAGGCCTGGGGTGGCGAGATAACTGCGACGGTTTCGCTTGTTCGCCCGGCGCTTTGGCGGCTGATGTGCACCCTGTGTCAGTCAATGTGTACAGCAGAAGCGGCACCGTGGTGATAATGAGTACGCGCGCCGCCGCAGCCAATACAGCCGCCTTCCAAAACAATGTACAGTCAACACACAAGCTCACACACACACACGCACAAATAGAAACACACAGATACACATGCGTGTGCTTGCCTGTGCTGCTTGGCCGGGTGCTGATGGCTGTGGCATGTGCCCGCCACCGCTAAGGTGCTGCTGCTGCTGCTGTTGTTGTGACTTTGGAACAGCGACATTTGTTGGGGGCGGTGCCACCTTCTCGTTCATCTTCGCAATCGCCTTCTTCCGCTCCTCAGGATCAACAGGCAGCCATGTCTGGTGTGGGCATGTGTGAATGGTTGGGGAAAAGGGCGTCAGTGCGAGAGCAAAACGAAACAAGCAGCAAAGTGATGGACACAGTTGCCAATGGTCAAAAGCACAAACGAAGCAGCTTTGACGTGATGGTACAAGCAAGATCGCCCACCACCACCATCCACCCATCCACCCATCCATCACCATCATCATCACTACCGCCATCATCATCATCGTCGTCACCTTGAGTTCCTGGTCAAACTCCAGCGGCGTGTCGCCATCATCAAGATGCGCTGTCGGTACGCGCGGTTTCTTCGAGCCGCCAAACAGGTAACTCAGCAGCCCAAACCCGCCCGCCTTTTCTTGCGCCTGCTTCTGCGTTTGGTCTTCGGGCTGCGTTGTGTCTGACGCAGCTGTCCTGCTGCCATCGTCGTTGCTGCCATCGCCGTCGTCACCACCACCATCGCCGCCCGTGTCGTGATCACTCTCCTCCGTGTCGTTGTCGGTTGTGTTTCGGTCAGCATCGCCGCCGTGAGGAGGAAGATGGGGGAGACGCGAGTTGCTTTGCGCACCCGCCTGTTGCTGTGCAGTGAAATCAAACGGCGAACTATACCCGCCCGTCTGTGGCTGTGGCCGTGATTGCGGTTGTGATTGCGGTTGTGATTGCGGCTGTGGCTGGTGTGCAGTGGTGGGCGGGTGCATGGGCTGGTCAAACGGCGTTGATAGCGGCTGGGGCTGGGGCTGGTGGTGGTGCTGCTGTGCAAAGGCGCCACTGCTGTGCGAGAACGACAGCGGATCTGTCAGCGCTGGGGAATCCACGCGGCTGGAACAACGAGGCAGAGGGGGGGGGGGCAAGAGGGACGATGCAAAAACAGGATGAAGGTAAGCTTTGCTCTGTCGTGTTCTGTTGGTGTGTGTGTGTGTGTGTGCGTGTGTGCGTGTCTGTGTGTGCGTGCGTGCGTGTGTCTGTGTGTGTATCTCATCAGCAAACGTGTGCCAACGTCCATCATAATCCCTACCTGTGCGAGGCCGACGTGTGCTGCGATGCTGCGGACTGCTGTGCGTCGTGCTGGAGCAGGGATGTCGCCCCAGCTTCGCCTTGCTGCTGCTGTTGTGGTCGTTGTTGTGGTTGTTGTGACTGTTGTGGTTGGGGCACCACAGGCTGTGCCATCGGTTGCGTCATGGCGTCTGCAGGCGCCGCCGTAAAGCCGAGGCGAGGTTGCATCATGGCATCATCACCATCACCGCCCGTCATCGACGCAGCGGAGCCGGCGCCCCGTCCACCGGCATGCTCCGGCTCATCCCCACCAAACTGCGGCTGCTGTCGCTGGTCGTCCGCGTACTGCTGATGCTGCTGTTGTGGTTGATCGTACTGCTGGTGCTGGTACTGATCGTGCTGCTGGTGCTGGTGCTGATCGTGTTGCTGGTGCTCGTGCTGATTGTGTTGCTGGTGCTGGTGCTGATTGTGCTGCTGGTGCTGGTGCTGATTGTGTTGCGAAGACGGGGTGTCGGTGGCGCTCATCGTTGCCTGTTCGTGCTGCCACTGCCGCCACTGCGCCGCGTCTGCGCTGCTCGTCAGATCAGGCATGCTACCCATGGGCGACACATCCATCCCGCCGTGCCCAAACATGTCCTCATCGTCACCACCACCACCACCACCACCACCAGCACCGGCACCACGGGTCTCGTCGTGCGCGCGCGCGAATGCAGTCGTCGCCACATCTGCGTGCGGGTGCTCTGGCTGCCGTGCTGTCGCTGTCATTAGCCCTGCTGGCTCCTCGCCACCACTACCAAACGTGGATGGCTGCATGTGCTCATCATCATCAGCATGTGGGTGTGCGTCGTGTATGTCGTGGGCGACAGCGCCTGTTGCTGTCCAGTCCTGTGAATCACGTGAGCCATCAGTGGCAGCAGCAGCAGCGTTGTCTTGGAAGCCCGAAGTGGTCTCAGCAGGTGCACCCGTTGATACCGCCTGCTGCTGTTGTTGGTGTTGCTGTTGCTGATGGTGCTGCTGCTGTGCTGTTTGTGGTCGCATTGACGCCAGCAATTGCGGACCCTGTGCAGTGACGCATGTACACGGGGGAATTGGCGGAAACATGGGGAGGAGGATAAGGAGGAGGGAGGGGGAGGAGGTGCATGCGATTAGCACAGGCGCAGGTCAGCGGGGGACCAGGTAGCCAACATAAGCACAGCCACACTGGTAGACAAAACACACACACAAACACAAGCACAGACACAGACACAGACACAGACACATACACACACAGACACAGACACAAGCACATACACACATACACACACAGACACAGACACAAGCACATACACACAGACGCACACACACACACACACACACACACACACACACACCGTGTGAGTCCAGAAGGATGTCATGACGCTGTTGCCAGCACATGCCGGATTCGATGCAAGAATACGCAGTGCGAGCGAGACGACAGCGGAGAGGAACGTGTATGACACATGCAACATGCGGCAGTGCTCGGCGGAGCACTGGGCCAGCATGCCTGCAATGGCTTCGCAGTAGCTCAGGGCAACAGCGGGCTCCCCGCACTCGCACGCGTGCACGGCCATCCAATACAGATACACGTGGAACCCGGGAATCAGCTGCAATGCGTGCATGTTGGACGACTGCACAGCAGCAAAGAGCGCCACTTCCGTCAGCTTGATGGCGAGGGCGTTGGCAAACGCAGACGTGCGCGCAGCGCCACCGCGGTGGTTGCGTGCAAGCAACATCGTGTTGGGTGATGATGCTGATGATCCTGCGTCTGCTGACGATGATGATGGAGTGGCGATGATGGCCGGGAGCTGCCCGAGGAGAAGGCGGCACACGTCGTGCGCTGTGCACTCGTCCTTGGCGACCAGCGAGCGGGCAAGATGCGACACAACGTCACTCGCACTCCTGGTAGGGCAAGGGAACAAGAGGGGGGGGGGGAGGGAGTGGCATGAGGCACGGCGTACAGCTGTAAGAAAGCAAGAAAGGGGCAACCACAAGCAGAGGATCACAATTACCGCTACGATGTCATCGCCACCACCATCACCGTCACCACCATCATCGCCGCCACCATCACCACCACAACCCAATCAACAACCATTTCGACCACCACCACCATCACGAGCATCGTGGTGCCTCGACACTGAGTGCACTTCCGCCCCCCCTCTCTCTCCGTCTCTCTCGCGGTAGGGGCACCTGGTAGGGTTGTTGAGGAAGGCGAGGAGCGTGTCTGTCCACTGCGTGACGTCGTCGTACAGTGGGGGCGCCGCTGGTGGCGGTGCGGGGACATGTCCGGCAAAGGCGTGGTACAGCACGCCCAGCGGATGGCTTGGCGAGAAGCGCTCGTCCGCAACGCTGAAGTGCAATGCATGGCAGGGTTTGTACCCGGGCGTGTGGGTGGTTGGTGGGGGGGGGAGACGAGGTGAATGAGGCGCAGGTGTTTGTGGTACTTCAAAAACAACACGAGATTGAGATTGCAGAAGAGCAGAAGGCACCAAGCGCACACGCACACGCACACGCACACGCACACGCACACACACACGCAAATGCACAGCACATGCACACACACACATATGTGCACACACACACACGCACACACATGTGTACGCACACACACACGCACATATGCACACACACAGCATCACCCACCGAGTGACGACGCGCTTGTGGAGTTCTGGTCCAGTGTACCAGGCGAGGATGAGGGCGTGCTCCCAGAAACCCGCCTCCAACGCCACCTTACACGCCGCCTCACGCTGACCAGCAAGGAGCAGCGCCTGCATCTGTCGCATCTGCTGCTCCCGCTTCCTCGGATCACCATGATCCCCACCCACAGCGGCTTCCAAGCCAGCCGTGACAGCGCTATGATTAATGCCCTCCACCAGTTCGTCATCATCACCAGCATCTTCATGATCACCACCACCACCGCTGCCACCAACACCAATACTATCACCGCCGACGCGGGTGCTGATGGCGCTGTGCGTCTGCAGGAGGGAGGACACCTGGTCGAGCAGGCCCGAGCTGAGCGACAGCACGCCCTCCGGTGTGGGCGGCTGCGGGAACCCGTGGCGACACAGCATCGCCAGCAGTCGACACAGCAGCACTTTGCTCGGCGCAAACTTGTTGTCGTGCAGCCAATCGGAGAGGGCGTTGACAAGTTGCGCCACGCCACCAGCACTCAGCCCCTGCATGCCGAGCATGCACTGTGACACGTCCCCCTGTTGCAGCACCACCACGTCCGCCCACGCCGCCCGGAACACATCGTGGTCGTCGTCGGTGCTGGC